AGCTTTATGATGAATGTGATGACTTTTAACTTTTCAATCGTCAACTTCCGTTACGTATGCAGCAATTTCACCTGCATACGGGATTAATATCTATCAGTTCACAAGATATATACGCAGGGGGCATTCAGTACCTATGAACAATTTCTCATGTATTAGAATTTTAATAAATTCTGTTCATATGAAAATACGTCTTTTAATAACAGAGCCCAGTTGGAACCCAAGAGCCACCAAAATGTTGTGTTGAAGACATTGCCTCCAAAAAAAAAAAAAACACACAGAGATATTGTCAAAACGTCTTTCAAAATGCTACTTCTGTGGTTTTTGTCCGATTTTAATAAAACATTTAATTAAAACTACATATGTCAGATATAGAGACTGATATTAAGATATTAATCTCATAAATTCTGAAAAAAAATATACTACTTCCCAGGAAGAAACCTTTGACTGAACTCTGCTTCATAAAAAAGAGTGTTAATAAGGTACTTCATCTTTGTATCAATATCTTCGAAGTACCTAATTTTAACAAAAAATATTATGCAGATGGCAAATCATACGCATTTTTTTTTATTGAAAAAAGGTTGTCTATGATGTCAAAAACCCACTCTTTGATTTCTAGAAATTGTCGAAGAGGCTTTAAAAAGTCAAAAGTTTTTCGATGGTATTGATGTTTTAGAAATTTTGTGATTTTTTTATTTTCAAAAAGTTATTTTTCTGTTTTTTAAAGATTTGATTCAATCCACTTCTTAAATATGCTTTACCAAAATAAGTCTGAAGTTTCTCCTTCACAGTTTTTGTTGGGTCACCTGTGGCACGTCGTCGTAAACTTTTGAGCTTTAATACTGTTCGTTATCTCCATATATTTTATTGTAATATATGTAATGAAACATTTAGAGATGACGAACAATATATATTCAAGATCAAAGTCCATTAACCAATACTAAAGAGGAGCAGAACAAACACGGACCTCAAAAACATCAGAGGTGGGATCAGGTGCCATGGAGGAGTGAGGCATCCTCTCCCGACCGGTCTCATCCGCCATGTGCTTCTTGTCATGATCGGCAAATAACAAAAAAAATCCGTCGACAATTCTGTTTGTAAATAGTGGACTAAGCATTAGTATAAAAAAGTCAGTCAGTATTTAACTAAATGATAAATTGCATTTGCTGACAAGGGCAATGTATCGACCATAGAACTAATGAAATTACGACTTTAAACGAGGTTGCTGATATTCTTGTTTCATCAACTTGTTTATCAATATTTTACCTAGTTTTAAAAATTATTCATAAGTATATAGAGCATGCTCCTGCGTATAGGATCAACTGAGAGATATAAACCCCGTATGCAGTTGATGAATGTATATTGCTGCATAAGTAAGGAAAATTAATGATTAAGAAGTTAAAGTTATCATGTTTATCATAAATCCTGGTTGTCAGATTACCATTTACATCTTTTTAAAGTGAAATATCCAAGTTTGAAACAGATGGGTCAGACGCTGTTGTATCTCTTAACTCAATCTCACCGGTATACAGCTGTATTTCGTATCGACATATCCATTGCTAATTGACAATAGGTCGTCGATATACATGTATTTTGATGTCGAGTTGAAGGCCATAACAAGCGTTTTCTTCTTTTCACATATGACTTAGAACATATTCTGCTTCGTATGAAAACAAATATACGTCTGCCAATAATCGGGCTCAATTTGGTACACATGGGAATTTTAATAGATTGTTGGGAGATTTTGTCTCCAAAAATTGCATAGTAATTGTAAACAATCATTTTAATATAAGCAAAGTTCTTGAACGAGACGGTTCATACTCTTGTTTCAAAAGCATGTTTGTCAATAGCTTGTCTTATTTAAGAAATGATTCGATTGTTTAGTAAGCTCTTGAATGTCGAATCAATTGGGAGACAAAAACCTGTATGCAGGTGATTTAAGGAATCCCTGTCTAGTTTTGAGAGTATGCCAGGGCATCAACAATAGTGGGAAACATGGGATAATTTGCATAACGGGCGAAGCCCGTTATGCTAAAATTATCCCATGTTTCCCACTATTGTTGATGTCCCTGGCATACTCTCAAAACTAGACAGGGATTCCTTATATTTCCATTTCATTGTGAAATAAAATTGTAGATTTAGACTTTAAAAATGTAGACATAGACTATAATCACATGAGGACTTCCATGCCAATTTCAACAGTCCTCGCCCACTGACGTCAAACACATAGGCAGCCGCACGAAATTTACATGCATATTTGGCCTCCTTAGCGTCAGACACAGAGACAGATGCGCACGAGATTTGCATGCGTATTAGGCTTCCTTACCTCCTGACCTATCGACCTGCCTAATTTACATTCCGGCAGAATTATCAAGAAATAAACTCCGACAACTTTCAAAGAGTTATCACAGAGAAAAAAATTAGAAATGGAAATATAAGAGTATATAGCTACACAAGCATTGTGTACACATTGACGTCTTTTTCTGGACTTTTACAAGAAGCGCTGACTTTTACAGTTGACGAATTACTCTCACACTAGAACAGTGTACGGAAGCTCTTTTACGATAAAAATACTTAGCCCAACATTAAATTCAGCGATTACAACGGGCTATTTCAAAGCACAGATAAGTCCCTTGAAGTAAACGACAACCATCCTACCCGTAAATCCAGGCCTTCACATATAAGTGTCCCTAACACCATTACTATGACCACTAGAAAGGTTTTTTTATCCATTATCAATTCTGTATCTCCGTAGATGATACAGGTTTAAATGTACAAGTAAACAGTCAACTGTAAAAGTCAGTCCTTCTCGTAAAAGTCCACTAGTAAATATTCAAAAGGAGGAAGATTTATTGAATTCTGTGGTATCCTTTGATATCCATGTTTCCAGTCATTTAAGTCTAGGCATTCTCTCTTTTCTCTTTAATATAATCTTCATTTTCTATTTTGAATGGGTTATAATGCCTTCACTTTTGAAAACACTTTAATACCTTTTGAATTATCTCTTCTGACATTTACAACATCAAAGGAAGAAAAATGGAAAACACCCTTAGGAAAATATCAAATTAAACTCAAAATTTTAGAATATCTAAAAAAATAAACAAATATTTATAGAGTGCACTGAGCTTAATAAATTCAGTTCTTTTGAGAAAGGAAGTTGACGTGCAAAGATCAGTTCCTCGAACAATATTTCGTGCATTTTTTTTTTATTCTAGAAATTGGTCACTGAAGCCAGACAGGCTTCTTTGAAAGCTATTACTTGCGTAGGTAGATTATGCTAAAATATCGGATAAGGAGTTTACACACATCATAATCTTGATCATCCTTTTAGTAAAAAGTTGTGTATTTGAATGATATTTTAAAATCATCTCTTGATTACATGTACTAGAAATAGGCCTACCCTAAATCGAATACAGTACTTATATGTTCCTATCTCTTGTGTGTAAAATCAGCCTTATTCAAACAGTGAGCTTATGTCAGAATATGACGGAAATAGAGTGCAAAAACTTCGCACTTTATTTGTATAAAGAGCTCAGAACCACCAGTGGTCATATGAATTTTGCAGTGATACGTTGTTGCATAGATTTACGTTTGAGTTAAAATATTACGGATGATAACATAATGTTCAGATGTTCTCATTAAAAAAAAAATCCTTTAAATAGTTTACATTATGATGTCTTGCCAAATGAGGTAAAATAAAGCAACGTATGAAAAAATCTGCGCACCTAGACTCAAAAACATTGTCATAAAGAATACAGGATTTCGTCACGCCAGCCACAGGAACGGAGGGTAATGACTTCTTTGTTAATCTTTTGTTTTAAGCACCTTATTCTATGACATAACGTGCTTTAAACACGCATTTCACGTCTCCTGGGGACTGGTCTTAGATAATTGTTTTTCTTTCTCAGAACGAGTACAAAACCTTTGTCCTTTTTTTTTGTACCGATAAATATGTATCATTTCTTGTATCTCAGAAATCTCTAACAGCATTACTCTTTCCTGAAAGAGAATTCAGACGTACATATAATACAATCAAAGAAAGGCAACCCTATATTAGTAATATTCCACCGTTAAATTGGGTATCTTGCGTACTAGAAGAAATGTTTTATCTACAGAACTATTGAAAGTTGTCAGGCGCCGTGCTTGATTTGACTATAATCTATAATTATTATTATAAATAAGCACTTATTATTTACTACAGTAAGTAATTATATTGATAATGAAAAATCTATGTACTTGTATATTCCAATGCCAACTTTAGGTCTAAACCCATTTTATTGTCGATATTTTTATTTGTACTTGATTGATGAATATGTGATTAAAAATAATAAGCATCCACTGAATGGTTACACCCGTCGTGGGGCATGTATATTGACCAGGTGGACAAAATATGATAATTTATATTAGGTCATTGAAACGACCATAGACATCTATGGAATGCTGACTTTAAACAAAATTGTTGAACTATGTAACATCAACTTATCTATGAAAAGCCTGCCTCAGTTTAAAAAAGGTAATCATATGAGTACTCTGAACCAAAACTGCTCAAACATCGAATACGTTGCAAGACATTAACACGATATGCAGGTTTTGCGGAGTATTTCTACGTAAATAAGGAAAGTTGACAATGAAGAAATCATCTTGTTTTTCTGTTGATATTTTTTGAGTTGTCCCTTACCGTCTGTAGTTAGTAAAACATCCTTATTTTACACAAAAACTTGCAAATTAAATAGGATTTTACAATTCCCCTAAGGGGGTGATATGAGTTTTTCAGTTAAACATGTGTCTCTTGCTCTCAGAGAAAAGTTAAAGGTAAGAGAGAACACAAAGTAAAATTTAAAAAAACACGAGTAAAGCAGAGCATAAAAAAAACAAGGGAAATCAAACTATTATCTGTTCTGTAAACTTTTACTATGATAGAAGTGAAGCAGTTTTTCTTGTAACCAGTACTGCTAAATTTTTTGACCATCTAAAAGTCCTACTGATTCCCTGACGATGAGTTATTAAACTTCTTCCATACACCCACTGTCATTCATTGTCCCTGGTACATCAATATTTAGCTTCAGTGTAGGTACTTCACTTGTTATACCTTCTTCGGTATCAGTTTTACCCTGCTCCTGACTTTCAATTACTGATTCTATTTTGTCTGTATTTGGTAAGCTCTCAGGACTACTCTCACTTTTCACACTGTTCTGTACACCATCAACAGTATCCTCGTTTTTAATGTCACTCGATAAGGACCGCAGTGTATCATAACCCTCTGATTTATTTTTCTGTTCCTCCTGTTCCGTTTCATCTGCCGCTTTTTCCTCAGTTTGCTTTTTCAATAAACTTTTCATGTCTTTTATATTGCTTTTAGTGACCTTGACGACGACCCCGACCGCTATCGTCTGCTTCAAATCGCGTAAAATAATCCTCCCCAATGATGGATAATCAAAGAACGTCTCTACACAGATTGGTTTGAGGAGGATCATTTCCACCAGACCAACGTTTCCGGTCGTCAGGGATGTCGGGAAGTCTTCAGCTGTCATGCCTGTTCGATCATCCGTTCGTTCAATGATGTTCGTGATGGTACAGGCCGTCATGGCGGTGTGACAGTGGAGCAAAGGCGAATAACCTTTCTTGATGTTCCCTGGGTGATGCAATATGCGTATCTGTGAATACCAAAAAGAAATTTCTCTACTATGTTATAAAATTACATAATTTGTGTGCACGATATGATTACATTGTGTTGTATTCTCTTAATAGTACTGCAGCATACTAAAATGATCATTTGATACTCCCAATTACATTTTAGCCTATAGCTGTTAGGTGTAGATCAGACATCTTATAAACGTAGAATATACAGCTGTATGCTTAGATATAGTGATGTTGGGCTTTATAAATTTAAACTGGGCCTTTCAGTTAAATGAATGATCACTGAATGTTTACTGACAGATTAAGGGCAGAGTTTTGTCCTTTAAGTTACCTTTTAGAAAACGTTTAGGTACCATTAAGTTCATTGAATGGCATTGTTTCTTCCTGTGTTATTATATATGTATAACATATTTGTACACTACGTAACGGACTGGATGCTACTTGCCTGAACAGTGATTTGTTTGATTGGTCTCTACTTGCCTGAGCAATGTTTTGTTTTGCTTCATTACATGATTGGAAACTACTTGCGACTGTAGTTATTTGTTTGGCTAGATACGACTTGACTGTTCAGCAATTTGTTTGACTGGTCGTTACTTGCCTGTGCAGTGATTTGTTTGTCTAGACACTACTTGCCTGTGCAGTGCTTTATTTGACTAGACACTACTTGCCTGTGCAGTGATTTGTTTATCTAGATACTACTTGACTGTGCAGTAATTTGTTTGACTCGAAGCTAGTGATTTATTTGACTATACACTACTTGCCTGTGCAGTGATCACTACTTGCCTGTGCAGTGATTTGTTTGGCGAGACACTACTTGCCTGTGCAGTGATTTGTTTGGCGAGACACTACTTGCCTGTGCAGTGATTTGTTTGTCTGGTCGCTACTTGCCTGTGCAGTGATTTGTTTGGTTGGTCGCTACTTGCCTGTGCAGTGATTTGTTTGGCTGGTCGCTAGTGCCTGTGCAGTAATTTGTTTGCCTGTGCAGTAATTTGTTTGCCTGTGCAGTGATTTGTTTGGCTAGACATTACTTGCCTGTGCAGTGATTTGTTTGGCTGGTCGCTAGTGCCTGTGCAGTAATTTGTTTGCCTGTGCAGTGATTTGTTTGGCTAGACACTACTTGCCTGTGCAGTGATTTGTTTGGCTAGACATTACTTGCCTGTGCAGTGATTTGTTTGGCTAGACACTACTTGCCTGTGCAGTAATTTGTTTGCCTGTGCAGTGATTTGTTTGGCTAGACACTACTTGCCTGTGCAGTGATTTGTTTGGCTAGACATTACTTGCCTGTGCAGTGATTTGTTTGGCTAGACACTACTTGCCTGTGCAGTAATTTGTTTGCCTGTGCAGTGATTTGTTTGGCTAGACACTACTTGCCTGTGCAGTGATTTGTTTGGCTAGACACTACGTGCCTGTGCAGTGATTTGTTTGACTACACACTACTTGCCTGTGCAGTTATTTGTTTGGCCTCCCGGGGAGGATCATCATACAGGTTCCCGCACACGTACCCCCTCTTAACCTTGTTTGTAGTCAGTCCCTCAAACTGAATTCCTACATTGTCGCCTGCTCGTCCCTCGTTTGTTACTTCGCCAAATATTTGTATTGCACGGGCCTAAATGAAGGAAACAACTTTGCCTAAAATTTTCTTAAGATACCACATTAAGTAATATAGATTGATTTTAGGAAGTTTTTTTATTCAAGATTACAAACCGAACACTTTCTTTGGGAAGGCGCAAAGCTGAGCTCCATTTGTGGTCTAACAGATCCAGCATGAACTCTACCAGCCGCCACGATACCTATATCTTAAACATTCAAAGGAAGGATTATTAAGTGTACTACAAAGTTAATTACTTTGATCATGCTCACTTTTAAAATTAATTATCATCATGCATGCGTAAAATAATGATATACAGAAAAATATAAAAATAAAATCGGTTACAAGTAAAAAGTCTTGGAAAAATATGCAATGTACTCCCTAATTTGTATACAGTGTGTATCGGTACTCGCAGTGCCTTGCTATTCATACGCGTTGGTTGCTGTGTCTTGTGTAAAGCATCTAATAACGTCACACCAGTCACGTGGTTTCCTGGCCTGCTGACCGTCTCCCAGTTATCGTACCAGGACATGTTTGTTGTCGGTGTTGTAATGTTGTCACCTTTCATGGCGGACACGGGAACAAATATGACTTTATTGGGGTTGTATCCAACCTTTTGCGCAACACGTTGCACGAGATGAATACAGGAATTATACTCTATCTGAAAAAGCAAATTTTTGTAAAAGGACAGTTAAGACAAAGAGATTTCTCATTTTTGACATTTTGTCTGAAACTACGCTGTAATCTGAAAGACGCAATTTCCAATGACAACAACTTAGCCTTACAATTACAGATTGTGATTGATGTTCAAGAGTATTCATAATAATTTCTTCTCCGCTGACACAACACAGGCCACTATCAAGTTACTTCTGTCAAAGCATATTTTTTTGAAAAACTTAATCGTTAATAATGGTTTATACGAGTTCATCATACAGGCACAGAAAATATGGGGATAAGAAAGAGAAAGCAATCATAGTCACGTCCTGACGTCATTCTTATGGAAGCAGACAAATCTGATCACGCCAGAACATATAGAATAACTGCGGATAATTATATCAAAATTAAATGTTTCCACACATGATGTGGCATTTCCATCAGCGATAAATTAACCAACTTTTAGACAAACAATCAAACTTTAATTAAACAATAGTAAATGAAATACCATCAAATGTATCATTAAATTATCGTCGCATACGTTGATTTCACAATTTTTCAGGTTGAATTCAGACTATATACTATATTATTGACCTGTGAATAAGGTGGCGAGGTTGCGTCCATTTTATTTACAGCAACAATGAGTTTCTTGACCCCCATCGAGTATGCTATGTTGAGATACTCTCTCAGTTGTCCAGTTTTTGTGATTGAAAGCTCGAATTCTTTCTTAGGAGCAGGAACAACTAAGACAACAACATCTGACTACAAAAAAAATTGAAGTGTTTAACACTATCATAAATTTCTGAAAATGATTTGGTTGTTTATTTGTGTTTGCTATGTAGGTTTTGAGACTGTTGTAGAGGAGTCAGCTTATATGAAGTATCAAGCATTGCGACTTCGCAAGCCAAGGGACTCTTTTTCTCTACCTACCTCAGTAGCGGATCAGATACCCTTGGCTAGCAAAGGTGCAAGCATAGGAATCAATATACATGTACATAGCTTTTGTACATGTAGCTGAAAATAGAAAGTCGGATGCAAAACTTTATGATGTCCTAAGTACCCATTTAAGCACATACCTTTGAAATAATTGGAAGTGTGACGCCATTACCTGTGTAATGCCAGTTATCATGTTATGACGTCATTACCTGTGAAAGCCCAGTAATCATGTTGTGAATGTAGTTCCGGTGCCCTGGACAGTCGACAACAACCATATTATATACTGAGGTCTCCATCCGCCGACTCTTGCTATCTATAGAATGGTTTCTGTCTCTCTCTACTTTCAGTTTGTCCATTAACCAGGCGAATTTTAAAGATGGCTTTCCAGCCTGTTGCGACAAAAGAAACATTATGGAACAATATATTTTGTAAACGTTTCCTTGATACATATACATATAACATTCAGATATATTTATTTAAAAATTTCGTTGACAAAACTAAAATCATTCTCTGATTTCCAGGTCCAAAGAAAGATATTTTTTTCAATTTCGGGACACTTCGTGGGCACAGTATGTAAGCTTTCATAGCATATACTAGTGCACAAAACCTAAATTATCGGAATTTGTTGACAATTTACATACATGAGTATTTCTTAGTACGGAATGAACCATATGGAGAAACCGAACATTATTCCAGATCAAAGGTCCATCAAACAATACAAAACAGGAGCAGAGCAAATACGGACCTTCAAAATATCAGAGGTAGGATCAGGTGAAATGGAGGAGTGAGCATCCCCTTGTGCTCCTTGTCATGATCGGGAAATAACGTAAAAAAATCCGTTGACAATTCCTTGTGTAGAAATAATGGACTAACAATTGGTATGAAAAACGTCAGACAGCATTTGACTCAATGATAAATTGTATTTGCTAATAAGGTCATTGTATCGACCATAGAACTTACGAAATGATGACTTTAAACGAGACTGCTGAAGTTCTTGTTTCATCATCCTGTTTGTCAATAATTTACCTCGTTGTAGAAATTGTTTATTCGAAGAACATGCTCTTGCAAATCTAATCAACTCAAAGATGTAAACTCCGTATGCAGGTGATGAAGGTATATTGCTGCATATATATGGGCAAGTTAAAGTCATCACGTTTATCAGATAGCCTGATTGTTAGATTGCCATTAACGTCTTCTCAAGTAACTTAAAGAACACTTCATTAAGAATTAAAAAAAAACAATTAAAAATTGTAAATTCTCTATTAGATGTACATTATGCTTCCAAAACCTATTCTCCAAATAAGATGTTTAGTAAAGAAGCGGGAAGGAAAAATACTGGTCGCCTAGAAGAGAATTTCTGAATTCCGAATAGCTCATTGAGCTGAACGACATATAATTACCATTATAAAAATGATGTTTCGATTGATAGAGTTGTAAGGACTTCCGAAGCGAGTGGGATGTTCGAAGTCAACTAGACGGAAACATTTTTTCCAAAAAAAAAAAAAATTTCATTCCTAGATATCAATCTTATTATGAAATACATTCTAGAAAGATTTGAAAACGGCAAAATTCTTTGATCAAATATTCTTTCTACGTTGTTTACTTTTCATCTGTTCCCTTCATTGTGAAATCAATAACTATGGTCGTGATGGAAGACATTAATATGAGAGATGAAAACAGATATAATAATTGAGACAGGCCAAAGACAAGTAGAGTCATCAATCAATGCTCTCTCACTCTCTCTCTCTCTCTCTCTCTCTCTCTGGGTCTGAGACACAATGTTGAATGTAGAATTTGCCAAAAATATAACTCCATGCAAAATCACATGGCTTGAAAAATACAGTTGCACAGTAGAATATTTTCTGTGTTAGGGATATGTATGAATGAAAAGGATGAAGCTAGCGAACGGGGATCGAACTCAAACAGACTTTACACAATACAAATAACTGAGGAGGACATAAACATGGAGCCCCTGGAAATTCTAGACATGGGATCAGGTACCTAGGTGTAGTAAGCATCCCCTGTTGATAACTCTATATTTATAGTTTAAACTCACAATAATGGCGTCATTGGATGCTTTTGTCAGAGTTACTTCATCAACAACACCACAGTTGTAAAGTAACCGTCCAGTCAATGACGACTTTCCGGAATCTACAGGTCCTATCATAGCCAGGTTCAGAAATGGTGTTTTGTTTTCAGATCTGTTAGCGAGAGATGACGGGAGCCTTGGTGACATTTCAGTGGAAGCAGACGGGGGCCGGGAAGGGAAAATGCTGTTGTCGGTTCTGACAGAGGGTGACCTTGAGCGGCCGCTGGAGCACGCCTCAAACTGTATTTCCTGGAATCCGTCAGAACTTCTTGTTTTCCGGTTCGCTTTGGCGTCGAATTTTTTAACTTTTGCTTTGTCGCTTATTTCTTTACTATTCATGCCTTTAGGTAACACGACAGAGGACCCCGATTTCATCATTTTATCGACATCGTCCCCTGGAAAATAAACAATCATTATATTTTCATGAATAAAAGATGACTAGATTCTGCAATGAAATGCTCCGCGGGTATCAATTCGAGATTTTTTTGCAGTTCATTAACTTGTCAACATTGTCATCATTATATCCCTTTATAAAAATTACCACTTTATTTTCCCTCATGGTGAAACTAGGAAAATGATTGAGAATAACATTGTATATTGGAATTGGAAAGAACGTCAAGTGATTTTACGTTTCTGAATGATAATCCAATATTGTCACAGGTTGACTTCATTTGAGCAAGATTTTGAGCCTGGGTATATTTTGTGGGACTTTAATGTGTCTCCTGGTAAAGGACATTCAAACCCTTTTTTTTTAGGTCACCTGAGTAAACTCAGGTGACCTATTGCTATCTGTTTTCGTCCGTCGTCGTGCGTTGTCCGTTAACATTTGAACATTTTCAGCTTCTTCTCTGCAACCACTGAACCAATTTCAACCAAATTTAACACAAAGCATCTATGGGTGAAGGGGAACAAAAATTATGAATTTCATGGTCCCTGCTTCCCTGGGGCTTAGGGGGTGGGGCAAAAACCACTAAAATTAATGCAGTCTTTAAAAATTCTTCTTTACTCCTGGACATCAAGCAGTCCAGGTGTTGGCATGAATGTAATGAGTATTGAGTCCTCTACCAAAATTGTGAAATTCATGGCCCTGGGGTCAGGGGTTCTATTGCTAGGGCGGGGCTAAATAAGTATATAGTGAAAATGCATTATTTCTTTGAAAATCTTCTTCTCTGCTCCTGGGTATCAAATAAACTAACTAAGTGCATAGTTATGATGAGCAAGAGTGCCTCTACCAAAATTGTGAATTTTATGGCCCTAGGGTCAGGGGTTCTGGTGTTAGGGTGGGGCTCTTTTGATTATATAGTGAAAATACATGAATTTTATGAAAATCTTCTTCTCTGCTCCTGGGTATTAAATAAACTAACTAAGTGCATAGTTATGATGAGCAAGAGTATCTCTACCAAAATTGTGAATTTTATGGCCCCAGGGTCAGGGGTTCTGGTGCTAGGATGGGGCTCTATAGATTATATAGTGAAATTACATGAATTCTTGGAAAATTTTCTTCTCTGCTCCTTGGTATTAAATAAACTAGCTAAGTGCATAGTTATGATGAGCAAGAGTGCCTCTACCAAAATTGTGAATTTTACGGTCCCAGGGTCAGGGTTCGGGTGTTAGGGCGATGCTCTATTGATTATATAATGAAAATACATGAATTCTTTGAAAATCTTCTTCTCTGCTCCTGGGTATTAAATAAATTAACTAAGTGCATAGTTATGATGTGCAAGAGTGCCTCTACCAAAATTGTGAATTTTATGGTCCCAGGGTCAGGGTTCGGGTGTTAGGGCGATGCTCTATTGATTATATAATGAAAATACATGAATTCTTTGAAAAAATTTCTTTTCTGCTCCTAGAAATTAAATAAACTAAGTACATAGTTATGATGAGCAAGAATACCTCTTCCAAAATTTTGATTTTATGGCCCTAGGGTCAAGGGTTCTAGTGATAGGGCGGGGCTCTATTGATTATATAGTGAAAATACATTAAATCTTTGAAAATTTTTTTCTCTGCTCTTGGGTATTAAGCAGATGAACTACATATGTAGTTATGATGAGCAAGGACCATAATCTTCCAGAATTGTGAATTTCAAGGCCCCAGGGTCAGGGGTACCATGGGGGGGGGTGTACTTATATACTGAAACTGGATGAATTGTTTGAGATCTGCTCCTTGGTATTAATCAAATATTTTTGAAAAGCAAGGGTGCCTTTTCAAAAATTGTGCAATGTGTGGATCTAGGCCTAAGGGTCAGGGGTTTATGTGTGATAGGGGCATTACTGATTATTGCTGAATATTACTGATTACTTGAAATGCATTTTTTGTTCCCCCACCCTGCCTATGGGTATTAAGTAAACAAACTAAGCAACTGCTAAGTGTATTGTTATGATGATCAATGGTGCCTCTTTCAAAATTGTGAAAGCCATAGCTTAAAACTTGAATCAAATTAAATCACTGCATAATGCTCAGGTGACCTATAAGGCCCATGGGCCTCTTGTTATATAAAAAATATCCTGTTTTCTCAAATGAGTAAATTAGCAAAACTATATGTTCATGGAGAGGGAAAATCAATACTGGCATCCGGAATGATGGAAGTAAGATGATTTGTACTTTAATGAAGTATATCATTTGATCTACGATCTATTTCAAACTCTATTCAGGGACGGATGATACAAACGCACTTTTGTCGAATATCTTGAAAATTATAACTTATAAATCATGTTTATATATGTAAATGTAATAATTAAGTTTTCATTCCATGTTTCACAATATAATATTGGGCTTTTAATGTGAAAAGATTGTATAGAGTAATAAGTACGACTGCAGAAATATAGAAATTTGAACACCGTAGAAAGTTTACAATTTCTTTTAATATTGTAGAAATTTATTAATTGCATTATTTAAAATTAACATAGATAAAAATAGATATATAATCATTTCCAGACATTCATTTTGTTTAAATCATTTGTTCTTAAGTATGTTCGAAGCTAAGGGTTAGTTTATACTAGTTTCATACAAAATTTCAACTTTGAGAAAATATTTGAAACTCTGATACTAATACTGATTATACATAATTAAAACAAAAACTGTCTACAGGAATGCAGTTCAAATCCTTTCACCTTTGTACATGTTGTTAATTGAGAACGTTTGGCACAAGTGCAATTGATGTAAAATAATTAATAAAGAATTATTTATATTTTTCTGAGAGTAAACTTACTTTCTGTTTGTTCCGCCATTTTGACTTTTTACTTGTCCACAACAAAGAGGATTAAAGACAAAGTTAAAAAGTAAAATAGGTGTGTGACCGTCTCTAATCCGCCCAGATTTAGTTACGCTACTAAATAATCTCAGGCAAGATTGTTATTAAATTCCTAATTGAAAAGTTAATTGTATGGGTTATTTAAGAATGGGGTTCGGAAAATTAAAATAATTTTGGTTAATTCATGGTTTGTCATAAGTCATAGTATGAAGAATTAAAGTGCTTCAAAGACGCATGCGTCACCAACTATTACCTCATGAAAGATCCTTTTTTTCTGAAGCTCAGTGGCTCATCGGAATAATACATAAAACATTTAGAGAAAGTGAGCCTAAAAATACATACATGAAATAGTGTAAAACATCGATATTGTTTTTTTTTCTTAACAATTTGTCAGCATTCAAAAGAAATCCAGAAATTTTACGAGAATCATGAGCATAACAACATACGACTTTTCGACTTTATATACAACCGTTCCTCAAGATAAAATAAATCCCAGGCTTTTTGGCGTTACTAACAGCTGTTTTTCAATAAAAATGAAACTTACAAAATCATTCATCTTGTCATTGGTTATTTTCTTGTAAACAAAAATTGTATTTGTACAACAAGTACCCTGAAGCTGATATTAAAAAGATGCTTGAGTTTTTGATTGACTATATCTATCTGTTTTTGGAGATCGGATCAATAGACAATCTTATAGAATTCCCATGGATACCAACTATGCCCCGTTATGAACAGACTTTGAAGAAGAATTTATTCAAAATCTTATACATAAGGAAATAAAACACTTGCTGTTGCCTTCATCTCGATATGAAGATACATATTGTAAATTGAGGCGAGGTGTTATCAATTTACAATAACTATTTCCATTCACACATGTATTTCGACCACGATAAATTCCAGTTAGATTGAAATTAAAGAAACAACGGATTCCGACATATCTGTTTCATAATGGGAAATTTGACTAGAAAAAGATTGCAAATTGCTATTGTTACTGAACAACAGAGCATTATGATTTCACTTTTCGTCAGCATTCCAATACAGATCTACCCTCACCTTAATACGGGGTTTATATCTCCCAGCTGATTTGATACGCAAGACCATGGTCTACAAATGAACAATTTCTAAAGCAAATTAAGTTATCAACTAACAAGTTGATGAAACAAGAATATCAACAGCAGGCATGTAGCATCAGATAGATTTTTCAGACAAATCTTTTACATTAGAAAATGTTTTTTTTTTTTATATAGATTTGCCCCCGTAGTTTTGTTGCATTATAGTCAAATAAGGGTAATGAAGTATATTTAAGTATTTAAGGTATGGAAAGAAGTTGGAGCTTAACAACTCCCCCAAGAAAAAGGATTTTCGAGTTTGGAACAGTTTTGCATTTTGTTCTTGTCAGGATTTTTAAGATCAGTTGATTATTTTTCCTTGCTGTCCCCTTTCAAAAACGATGTTACGTCACTAGACAGTCTCGTTTAAAGAAATAATTGTCCAAGTTCATAAATGGATTTGTTTTCATACTAATTTTAAGGCCAATATTTATACACTGTCTACAGATTTTTTCTGTAGTTTTTCTCCCGATCATGACAAGGAGCACACGCGTGTGTGACCGGTCGACAGGGAATGCTCACTCCTTCGAAGCACTTGATCCTACCTCTGACGTTTTAGAGGTCGTGGTTGCTCTGCTCATGATATGTATTGTTTGAATGGACTTTTGAGCTTGAATGCTGTTTATTATCTCCACAAACTTCATCTAAAAGTCGTTTTATAATGTTTTAGCTGTATCATTTAAATGGATTTTCATAAAGTAGTACACTACATACAGATATACGTGTCAACAATTGAACATGGAGTCTCTACATTAACTTCATTTTTCTTTATCTACTTGAAATAGCAAACATAGCTTATATGTATTTACCTTGTTGGATGATTATGTATATTTTTGTGTCGTCTGCAGAGCAGAACAAAACTTAAGAGAGGTCACTTAACCTGACCTTTGTCTGTCTTCTGGCCTGTCAAATACATTTTTAAAAACGTAATAAAAGGGAAAATAATAAGTTCTTAAACAGAATTTCTTCAAAATATTTTACTTGAAAAGAAGAAAACACTTGCTGTGGCCTTCAACTCGACATAAAGATAAATCTAGAACATATTGGCAATTGTAGCTCTTAGATGGGCACCAGAATGGAATAGGAAATCTGGTCGGCCAAAGAATACCTGGCGAAGGACTTTGGAAAAGGAAATGAGAGAACACAAACTAACTTGGGGAGAACTGAAGAGATATGATCAAGACAGAGAGAAGTAGAGATGTCAAGTCCTAGCCCTATGTGCCCGCAGGCATATTAAGGACTAGGTAGGTAGGTATTGTCCATTAATAATAGTTATTTCTGTTCTTATGTCGACATGATATATCCCGGTTAGCTTTTAAATAAAAGATACCACAGAGTCTGACACATATGTTTCATATTCAGATATTTCAGGTATTTTACATGGAAAAGACATTAATGGTAATCTAACAACAAATCTTTATGATAAACGTGATGACTTGAACTTTACAATCGTCAACAACTTCCCTTACTTACAATGTATGCAGCAATATGCCTTGAAGTTCATGGCCTGCTTACGAAATTTATATATCTCATTTGATTCGATACGCAAGAGCATGTTCTACGTATAAACAATTTCTAAAACGAGGTAATTCATCGATAAACAAGTTGATGAGGCAAGAATATCAGGAGTCGAAGACGTCAGCAAATACAATTTATCATTAAGTCAAATGCTGACTGACTTTTTTTTCATACTAATTGTTAGTCCATTATTTATATACACTGAATCGACGACGATTTTGCCCCGTGGGGATCCGGGTTAGAATAGGTCCTCAGTACCCCCTTGCTTGTCGTAAAAGGCGAATAAATGGGGCGGTCCTTCGTATGAGACTGTATAAACGAGGCCCCGTGT